ACTCGATTGAAGGCCACAGTTCGAAACAGACAGTCTCAGCAATATAACTTGACAAGACTAGAACCACGATAGATGGAGAACGGAAAGTGGGTAGCATCTCCTGACCAATCAATACTGTTGAGATATGGATATCAAGGACTAGATGAGGATGAGGAGGAAGGCGAAGAATCAAGACTCGACCTAACTTTTGATGCCATTGATGCCGATATCAACCTGGATGAATCAGTCAGGAGTAATCCACGAATGAACGCCCTCAGTGGTCGTCAGAGTTCTATAGGATTATCAGATGCCAGTGAGAATGCAAAGGCGAGAAAGGTGATTGACCGATGGAGCGCAAATACAGGAAAACCAGCAACTATGACCCTGAAGGAACAAGAAAAGGTACAGTTGCTCCCTATTTTTTTAAAGTGACGGCTTTCCTTTACCATGCCTCTAATGCCGCTTATGTGCCAAACAGGTCATTGATGAGTTAAACAAGCTAAACTTCAGTCTCAAGCTCAAAGTCTATTTTTTGGAAGAGCGGTTGGCAAAGCTCTCACCAGAACATGCCGATCAAGCTGCTAATGAGGTATAAAGAAATAGCGATATATATCTTGAGTTTTCCTCCGTCGTAAATTCACTTACTAATAGAGAAAGATGTTTCCATTTCTAACACATCCGTTTCTCCTCCTCTTTTTTTTTTACTTTATAAAAGAACATCGAGTTGAAGGTTAAACTTCAGACATTGCTCTCAGAATTGAAACAGTACAAAAGACTCTTGATGGAGGCTCATGCCGCTATCGAGGCCCTGCAAGCACAAAAGAACTGTGATCTCCAGCATGGAATGTCAGAAGAGCAGGAAGAAGAATTCAGGAATGCAATTGCTGAGGCTCGGGATTTGAAGGCTTCAGTTAAGCAGCTTTCCCAGCGGGTAGAATCTCTCGAGCAGGAATCAAAATCCAAGGATTTGCTAATTAAGCAACTTCAGTCTCGCCTGGGCGATTTCGAGACGCAGGCGGACACTATTGCAAAGTACGAAAGTCAAATCAGAGACCTACACAATCAGCTTTCAGATCATCAGCAAAACGAGTCTCGTATGCTAGAGAAATCCAGAGTGGATGAAGGCTGGGAATCTCGATGCCGTGAGCTCGAACATGAACTCAGTGCTTCATTAGAACTTAGGTCCGAGTTGGAACAGGTTTGTCAACACTTCGCGACGCTCGATGGCTGTAGAAAGCATGTTAACAGCCTTATTAGCGCTAATTGTAGTCATCCTCTCTTCATAGGAGCTATCGCTGACTAGATCTGAGAGAGCCGCGTTTGAGGGAGAAGCTAATCTTCAGATTGAGCAGTATAGAGATGAGATCGCCAAAGGCAGGATTGATAATGCGGAACTTGCACACCAGCTGGAAGATGAGAGAGAACAACTCCGCCAGATGCAGGAAATGCATGACAATGATATGAACGCGCTCTCAGATCGATGGACCATGGATCGACAGCACCTGAAAGGACAAATAGAAGACTTGAACCGTCAACTCGGGGCTCAATCCCAGGATCTTGTGGCATGGAGGAACGAAGATGCTGTCCGACACGACCAGGAATTGGCTGACCTTGTCGGTGAACTTGAAGACAAATCTGCAGAGCTAGCCCAGATGCAAGAGGATTTCCTGAATGTCAGTGACCTCTTGCAAGCAAGAGATATTAAGATTGCTGAACTTCAGGACAGAATTGAGCAGCTAGAGATCGCTAGGCGTGAAGCGGACGCTGTCCATGACGAAGTTATTGCCAGGATGAAATCGGTAATGAAAATTGAGATACGCCTATGTTAACACATGTAACACTGTGATTCAGGAATTAATCATAAATTGCTATTCACTCTAGAAAATCCAATTGGGATCTAATCCTAACTTACAAACTGAATCGGCATCCTTGCATGATTTCCAACTTATGAACGAGGAGTTGGTATTGATAGAAGAGCAAAACCGGAATTTGGAGTCGCAGCTTCGCATCGAGACTGACAAGCGGATAGCGGCTGAAAGATTGAGTCGCGACCGAGATTCTAATGGATATCGGCAATGGGAGAAAGAACGCCAACAGATGGAGCGAGAATATTCAGAACGGATCGACGATCTTCAGGAGGTATGCTTCGCTGCCTGCTATTAACATCTGAGGACTAAGAAACACATGTATATTGATTGAATTATAATTTGTTGTTTTCAGAAACTTGCAGCAGCCTCGGATCAAATTTCTGAGCTCAACAATGAGCTTAATGAACGTGATGACCATGTCCGCTATTACGAAGATCAGCTTAACTTGGCTTCGAAGCAGTCCAAAGAGGTAGAAGAACGCTACGAAGAAATGGAGCTTAAATTGAATTCGGTAAGTCGTAGAAGCAGCGACCCCTCACTCACTTATTCAACACATGCACATATACACAAACACACGTGTGTGCTCTCTATACCTAAGAATACCGATCTAATGTAATCACTTTTGTTAGGATCTTGAGGCAACGACGGCTGAACTTATGGATATACGGCAGGAATTCGAGCAAATCAGAGCGGCTAGGGTTGAGAAGAGTGAACTGCTTCATTCTCGATCACACGAAGTTGATCGTCTGGTAAACTTATAAATCATAATATAAGCACTGATATCTACTTTGCGAACTTACTCTAACATGCTGATTTAGAATATCAAAACTAGAAAACTGAACGTTTCTGTTGCGGCTCTTGAAGATGAGAAAGAGCAGTTGGAAACGGCTCTTCGCGATAGAGCAACAACCATTGCTATGCTTAAATCGCGCCTAACGGAATTGGAGCTACAATTTTCGCAGAAACAGAGAGACGATGATATCTCTGGGGAGTCTTCAAAAAGCGATCTTGTTGAGCGAAATTCGCTACTCCTGACAGTACTTCAACACCTGGAAAGTATTCTCGGCGGTGACAGTAGACTCGACAACAATGTACTTCCAAAGCCGTCTGCCAACTTTACCTATTTCTCCAGCCACCTTATCTCACGATTGAAATCACTCAGCAAGCTATTTATACTGTTTGAAAAGAAAGGCAAAGAGCTGGAAGATAAATCAACTTCTCAGCTGATGTAAGTTTCTGGACAAATGTTTGTTAAGGTTCCTAACTTTCACTGTGATTGTGTGCTCACGTTACTTTTCTTCAAATATAGTCACTTGAAAAAGCAGCTTGACACTAAGTTAAAGCAGCTTGATGGATTTGAAGCAAATGTACGCGCTGCTGCTGACCGTCAGCGGAAATGGCGCGAACAAGTGGTCAAGAGTCGAGCCGAAAATGAAGAACTGCTGGTAAATCACGGTGCCTTTATCTATCTGCTCTCTTTCACTTCATCTATAATTCAAATACCATTAGATGTTATATATTACAACACGAAGATACCAGCTATGGATCCTCAGAGAACCGTTCGTGGTCTCTTGAATCCCGCTGGTGCAGTGACCTTATCCGTTAGATATGGATAGGTTACAGGATAACCTTCGAAGATAAAATGGCTTCAGGAGGCGGTTATTTGTTATCTCTTTAACCTCGTAGCCTGCTATACTGTTATGCAAAGATCATTTGAAAAGAGTTGTTCCTCAGATTTTTTGAGCTAACCTCGAGCCATTTGACCTACATTCCCTCAACAATTTGCCCTTTGAATTTACATGAACCCGATAACATATTACTAACTTTAAATTTTCATCGGTCAAATACGCTCTCGATATAGGCTAAGCAGCAGCAGTTATACAAGGTAATCGCTGAACTTAAGGCGCGTACTGGACAAAGTGATCGCGCACAAGACTATGAGGCTCGTTGCAAGCACGCGGAGCGTAAGCTTCAGCTGGAGAAAACTCGTGCTATGGATGCCGAGGAGCGATGGAATGCTCGGCTCCGGGAGCTCGAGAAACGAACTAAAGACGCAGAAGAGCGTGTAAAACGAGAGCGACAAGGAGCTAAGGAAAAGGTTGCTGGCCTTCTAGACCAAAATAAGTATGTATTGTCACGACTGTTGTACATGCAGTTATTATCATTTTTCGTTATCACTCATCGCTCTAATCGCTTCTCGTTTTCAGCACCGCACAGAAGACCATTGAGAATCTGCAGCGCAAAAACGATCAGTTACAGGAACTCGTAGACATTCACAAGGGAAACTTTTCAAAGGGTAAACCAGGTGATCGAGCAGTGGAGGACTCCCAAGTGCCTGGTAGTCCATTTGGATCACAGCAGTTACAGAACTCAGCCCATATCCGCACTTCAACAGAAGTGGGACTATCAAGGATGAATGACCAACTTCGCAGCGAACTCGAGCAACGATCAAAAATGGCTGAAAAGGAAAGAGAAAAGACTCGATCAACCCAGCGAGAGCTCGAGACTGTAAACGCTCACTGTTACAAACTCCAACAGCAGCTTGATCAGCGTGAAAATGCGATCAAGAACACGCTTTCAAGGATTGAGGTGAGAGGTTGTCTTTTTTTCACTTTATGAATTTGTAAATGTCTTTTACATGAACTAACACTCTTAAGTGCCACGAATAAAATGATTTAGATGTTGAGACAAAGGAGGGAGATTGCTGAAAGTATGGCCTTGTGTCAAGCTACTGAAGACTTGTATCGGTCCCTAGATGTTGACGACGTTTGGGACTAGTCTTTCACCGTGAGTAGTTTACTTCTTTAGCAGATCCCATAATTTAGCGTCTCCCATCATGTAATTTTATCAATTTCACGTAATATACCTTTCCAACCCCCCAAAATTAACAACTACGCTCCTACATGGATCCATTACACGTCTTTTCGATTACTTTTTTTTTTTTTATTAACAATTTGTCTCTGGAGTCGAAAAACTCTGTGAGTTTGTAAAGACTATCCAGCAATGATTTTCCTCCCCAGCACAAATTGCTGAAGCCCCTTAACTTTTTGTGAGCTTAAGGGTTTCTCACGTGATTGAGCATTAAGTTAATAAAAGCTCTTTCTCAAAAGCAATCGACCAATCAGAATCATCCTACGATAATGGTTGTTTCGTGTCAACTTGGCCGAGCGGTTAAGGCGTGAGACTCGAAATCTCATGGGATTTCCCGCGCAGGTTCAAATCCTGCAGTTGACGAGACTTTTTGCTTCTTGGGACTTTGAGAGATGGAGGCAAAGTGAAAATGTGCAAGTCCTGATGTTGCTGTGCTAATAACATTATTGTTTTTAACCTTTGATTATTCTGGAACAATCCAAATAAAAACATATGAGTTTCTGAGGGAAAAGTTAATAATGTTTACGGCGTTGCTTATCTGAGATGAATCTAGATAATTCAGTTTAAGGAAAAGATCCGCCAAGGCATGTTCAAATGCCGATTGGATAATAGGCTTGAAAGAAAGAAGTGCGGCGTTACATTGGGAAAAATGATGAAGAAGGAAAAAAAAAAACGGGCATATTCTTTTATGTTCCAGACCACCTTATTTACAATAATCAATAGACCTGAGCACGTTGCACAAACCAACATAAATCATAGTTTATCATTTCAAATACAGCATAACAGAACTCTCTCTCAAAAAAAAAAGAGACTGCGGTCAGTTCACTGGCCCATTTCCCCGAAGTTGCATATTTTTGTCGTAGTTAGCGCAAGCCTTAAGATAAAGACGACAGAGAGAGAAACACACATGAAGGCACACTACCCCTACCTCCCTTTCCTGGAATTCCGTGCTCAAAAATGCTACAACACACACCACTCCCTTTGGACAAAATCTCAGTATTTATTGCTCTACTTGAATGTAAACAAAATTATAAAGGCTCGTGTCCAAGTGGAAACAAAAAAAATTTGCTTTTTTTCTGGACGTTCCATAAAACCCAAAATTGCTAAAAATAAATAGGGGCAAAGCGAATATTCCAGTTGTATGACCCATATGGGGAAGTCAGTGACCCAGTGGGCAGAGAAGAATAGGAAATACGTCTAAAATACAGTGGCAAATTTGTATTGATTGAGTGCCTGTGATTGATAAGTCGAACAAAAAAAATGTTTTTATTTATTCTAGAATATCTGTTTGTCTAATTCGGCCAACACACACACCAATGCCAGCCATTTTAACCAAGTAAAAAGGTTATCCAAATTATAGTGCTATTTCAAGCAAGGGAATACCGGTATATCGGTGGCCTGAGGGTCCCAAGCACTGTGAAAACAATGTAGATAGAATAAACATCCATCTGATACGCTTGAGTATGAAGACTTGGCTCGAACATGAAAAAAAGAATTAGATAAAAAAAAAAAAGTGTTGATCTTCACCTTAATATTGGCCGCTTGACAAGCAATCTACATGGCGGTTGCAGAGCAGAGAAGATGACGTGATTATCAACGAGACCCAACCTAGCTTCTGTGCATGTCTCAGGCTGCAACTCGAGAAAATATCGCCAGTGTGGTCACAATTGGGGCTGCTAAAAAGAGTTTGAAGCAAACAGTACCAATAGTTTCTAATATAGTGAATGATCACATGTGTGTACCTTACTGGTAGAAAAATCCTATTCCTTCCGTAACCTTTCTGGATTATCTATGATTTGCAAGTTGTTGCCCAGTATCACTCCAATATGGAAAGGAGACTAACGAAGTTTTTTTTCAAAAATAGTCGTCCACATGGACTGGAACATACAAAGAAAAATTAGGCGATTGGTGCACCCTCGTGGTTTACCGAGATTTGAGGTATCTCGTTGCATTGTTGCTGCTTACATGTTCATCAAATGTTCCCTCACTTTTCTCCGATTTTTGCTATAAGGGGTGTTTTAATGCATGCGGGCAATGGGGATCAAAAGTGTTGAGTGTTGTGCAACAGTTTGTAGATTGGTTTTTTGTATTTGTTTGCTACAAACTCAGGAATAACTTTACACCTGTTGCCCACAAGGGCATGAATTAAATTTGAAATAAATAAAAGAAAGACGAAAGAGAATAGCCAAAGGAACATGAATCAGTTCAGGAAGGAATGACTGATCCAGTTAGGAAAAAAAAAAGAGACGGCCCGATGCAGGAGGGGACAAAGAACAGGATTTACTTGATCGGATCGGACCATTTGACGAAAAAAAAAGGAAATAAAAAAAGAGGAACTCGAGATATTCCATTGATTGCAGAGGCTTTGAATAGGGTTTGATTATAGGAAAGAGTTCTAGAGAGGCAAGACAAATAGCAACGCAAGACGATATTTACCAAATTGGTGACAGCGGAGGAATAAATTAAACGTGCGAGGGCGCGTCTCGTCTGTCTTTGTTGTCTGATTACAGCTGGACAGTGATCTGTTGGTGGAGAGTGGATATTCCAGCAATAGATTGAATTAAAAATCAGTAGTCTATTTTCAAAAAGGGAACTGCACCGCAGACCCAAAAGTCTATTTCTTATATTCTACTCTTCCTATTTACTTCAATTAAAACAATAAATCATTGCTCTCCTGTCTTTACCGAGGGATCACAAAAAAAAAATAAAAAAATAAAAAACGAGGGTCAGAGGGGTATTGTTTGTCTGCTTTGAATATAGTATATCTTCACTTTCTCACTCTGTTTCTCTCTTTTCTTTTATCATTTCTCGATTCTCTCTCTCTCTCTTTCTCTCTTTCACTCTCACCCACGTTTTTCTATTATCTCGAATACTATTGCTACTACCTTCTCATAACGGAACAATCTTTTCCATCCCTAATCGCGTTTTCCTTTCACGTTTATCTCCTCTCTATACCACCACAAGTCTCTCTTTATTTGGCATACAACTACTTTCCCTCCACCTCATTTCTCTTGCTCATTCCGACTCAATTGCATCCCATTCTCTCTCTCTTCCCTCATTAATATATCATGACAAATCAAAGTATGATGGTCCCACCGAATAATGCCCCTTGGCCTGGCCCGCAAACTTCTTCATCACAGTCGCACTCTTCCCACTCGAGTCACCAAGCTACCTCCTCTACCTCACACCCAGGGTACAGCCACTCACATCCTCCTCCGCCTCCACACTCTTCTTCATATCCGCCACCTCACTACTATCATCATCCTGGACATCCTCCTCCACCTCACTACCCATACCATCCTTATGCCGGAGCACCTTATCCACCCTACCCTGCATATCACCACCCTCCTGGGCACTATCCCCAGCCTAATGAAGCCCATGACACCCCATCCAACTCTGTCTTAAAATCATCCTCATCCTCTTCCAACACAACCGCCGCCACAACACCAAAAGACTCTTCAACTAAATCTTCATCCTCGGTTGCGCCTGGCAAATCGACAAAAGCAACACTGTTACCATCAAAAACGATCAACGGAAAGTCAGAATCGTCAGAAAGCAAAGCTGGCTCTTCTACCTCGAAAGCTTTAGCCTCTGCCCCCAAGACCTTCCGGTTTGAGGGAAGCATCTCATCCGAGACTTACAAGACTACAAAGTCATTTGATCTTGCTGGAGTCAACATTCTGAACCGCAAGCCGCTCGACACTCGCACCGCGCTCGATAAGTTGCAGCGCCGCAGAGAAACCCATAACCGAGTTGAACGTAAACGCCGTGATTGCATTAACCAGGTAGGGCATATTTGATGGATAGGATGCTTGAATGAATCCCTAAGTGATCTTAACAGCTTTGTCCCTAACATATCCCGCTGTTCTTTTCTTGTATAGCTGATTGATGATCTTACAAAGTTGCTCCCACCAAAGCACCTTGAAGAGGTTACCTCCAAATGCCACCGCGTCAATGTCCTTCGTGGTGCAGTAGCTCACATCAAGTTCTTGTCCGAGATAAACTCTTCGCTTAAAACATCTCTTACAGCTGCTAAGGAACAGGGATTCACTGACATTGACCTTAGTGCTATCCAAACATCTTCAAAGACCACCAAAGATGCTGAGGATATGGCCATGGATGTTGATGCATCCGATTCTGTAAAACAGGACGACGATATTGACGATGATAATGAAGGCGACAATGCAGAGGATCGTGCAGATTCAAATTCCTCCAGATCTTCTTCTCCAACGGGCTCCTCAGGCTCGCAGTCTGTCTCACCAGCATTGACGCCAACCAAGGCTATGGCTCGCCCACCTGTCATCGTCACCAATGCGCCTAGTCCTTCTTCGGAGCAGGGCCAAAGTCAAGCAAAGGTGACTTTGGTTCCACCACCCATCTCCATAATCAATGCTCCAACAGACTCTCAAACACCTGAGCCCCGTCGTAATCGTTCCAACTCTTCGAGTTCCTTCTCGACATCACCCATGTTCCCTCCTTCAGACTTCATGACTGTAGGTGGTTCCTCGTCTTCAGTCTTCCCTCCTTCGCCAGTATCCCCTTCGCCTTCTTCTCGTAAGAACCCATTCTCTCAAAAGGGTAATGAGGCCGAAGGCAATAAGGACCAGCAGCAGCTGTCTCCTTTCACACAATATCGCTCGACCTCCGCGTCTCCTTCTCTGCCACCTATATCCTCATTTGGTAACATTCCACCTTCCTCTGAGCGTACGGCGCCTTCTTCAAGTGAGCGACGTCCCTCAGAGCACCAGGAGTCCCCATCTCTACGACCAAACTCAAAAGATTCTTCGGATACAGCCGAAAGCAAATATGCCAGCAGCCGCCCTGGTGGCGCGCTTCCACCACTCAAGATTCCAGCTCAACAGCACCTTCACCCTTCTTACAATCAAGCAGGTCATGACTCGAGTCGTAACAGTCAGCGCAATAGCCTGACGCCCTCGCCACGCCACCATCGATCTGGCGATGACCAACCTCCTGTTTCTCCTTTCATGCTTTCTCCATTACCTCGCTCGCATTCAATGGGTCCAGTATCACCCTCCCCAGGAGGATCACCTTACCCACACTGGGGACACGAAGGTTCGGATGCACCTCCACCCCCACCCCCACACCCTAGCCACTATATGCCCAACTCTCTCTCGCCTCATGCCTACCCTCACGGCTATCCATATCCATACCCATATCATCCTTCCTATGGTTACCCACATCCTCACGGACCTCCACCACATCATGCTCATCTTCAGCATGGCCCACCTCCAGCTCAGCAAAAGTCCTCATCATCATCTCAGCCTCCAGCGCGCTCTCCCCAGCCTGAACCCATTTTTATCCAAGAAGAGCCCTGGATTGTGCAAAGGAAGAGAACTACATCG